TGCTGTCCGACACATTGGTTACCCTCTGTCTCTAAAGCATGGGCATCGGGTACATTTCATAAATGTCGTAAGCAGAAATCACATTCTCAGTGGGAATACAGATGTCCTGTGTGACCTTCAAAACGTCAGAGGTGCTTATCTTACTCAAGGTCCACACCTTAGGCAGCCAAAGCTCAAACTCGACAGGCAAGACACAAAACGCTGACTCCGAATGGCACAGACAGGGCAGGAGGGAGCTCCTAACACAGACCGGGAAACAGGAACGGACATTTTCCGTGATTTTGAGCACTGCCTATGAAATCAGCTCAGAGGTACATTCTTTGCTTATATGCTGCTCCATACAGAAAGGGTCCCCAGCTCTTGGGCAGCTAACAGCCATCTAACTACCTCTCTTCGGCATTTGCACAACTGGGCTATGTTCTTATTCTCAGCATGGACCTTCATTTCTGCCCACTGGTTATCTGTTGTTCTTCAAACCCACAGCTGGGGGAAGCGCCTGTGGAGATAGTGTTTTTCTTTCTAAATCAGCAAGATTTTTTTTTTTTTAATTCTTCACAGTTTGCAAGTTGTTTGTAGCCAAAACTCACATATCCCTGTTCAATTTGTTTTCCATCTACTCTGTTCTTACTCATAAGCTTAAAAAAATGAATTCAGATAATAAAACCAAAGTATTCTGCCACAGTTCATTACTTGGGTTGAAACACCTTCCCTTACATTTGTTTGCCCATGGGAAGAGATGGTAAGTCAGAACCTTTTGTGATCTTCCCAACTATGGAGGCAGAAATGGAAAGAATACGAAATATGGAACAGGTTTTCAGCTGATACAAATCGGCACAGCTCCCTTGTTTTCAGCAGTTTTCCTGCTTTTGCCAGCTTAAGAGACATGTCTGAGTTGTCTGAAGTGTGCTTATGATGAGCCGTTTCACTATCAACCCCATGGCAATCTAAGTGGGCAACAGCACCTCAGACTGTGTATGGACAGAAGCACTCCTAGGGAAAAAAGAGAATCTCTGTATTTACATATTAGATTCTAACATTCCTGAAATACACATAAACTCAGCAGCAGCCCTAATATGCACAATAAAAAACGAGCAAAGATACAAAAATGTGTCAGCATTCTAAAGTAAGTAGTTCCTAGCGTACATAGGACCACTGTCAAGTGCTTTAGTCAAAGCATAAATCGAGAACAATACAAATGATGGATGATGCACCCATTAATTTTGCTTCCTCTCCATTCATGAATTGTTCAGAAGAAAAAAAATTAATTTGCAGCAATCACTGTTACCTCTTAAGAAGGATGGGAGTCATCCAGCCTTTTCCAGGCAAGGGAAAATCTTGGAAGAGTAAGGAATTAGTTCCTGAATGGGCCCTCATTGGAAAGCTGGAAGGGAATGGAAAGCCGAGAGGAGGACACTGCAAAGCAGGAAAACAAGGAAATCCTTACATAAACACCTATTTTTAAAAAATATTTATTTATAGTGTGTAGCATAACTGACCAGACAGATTCAGTGGCATTAAGAATAAAAAAAAAGATAATTATACTGAATGATACAAATTGACAAAATGAGTCCTGTGGAGTAAAGGAGACCTGTAAATCAAATCCAGAGTAGATTGGTAAAACTACGTAGTAAACAAGTACAGAGGCAGCACAGTATACACAGACAGGAGGACCTGAACAAAATTCAGAGGAATTAAATGGAACAGGAGAGTTTCTGCTGATTCTAATGGACTAAGATTTCATTTTCACTCTATAATTCTATCATAAATATTTTGGCAGGGTCAAAGTGACATAGCACAACCAGATGCACAGTGTCCAAGCATTAAACTAACACCCATTTTGTGAAATGGTCAAAATAATGCATTAGATACTGTCATCTGTGCTCATATACATTACCTACAATTGTTCTGCACTTGCATTTTGAGACTCTTTTCACAGTAACATTAAAAAAAAAATATTAAGGGTATCAAATAGACTGAAAATCTTGAAGCACCATGCCATTAATTTCTTTAGCATGAATTGTGTTCCCCATGACCTCAGCTTCTTGCTTCTGTTTCTACCAGTAAAAAGTGGAAAATGAAATGCATGTAACTTCACGAATGCCAAATCTGATGTTAACACAGGACATGTGTCCAGTCCCACTGTGACAACCTGTTCCCACTTCTTTCTGTGCTGTGGGTATTTGACCCCAGTACCAAGTGGTTTATGTTCAGAATTTTTAGGTCTCATCACTTTGGTTGGCCATGACAGTAACCCCTGAAGGGCCTTCCGTGGGCTGCCTTCCTCCCTACCCCTAACTGCAGTGTGATGTAGTTATTTGGTTGTTTACTGTGCTTAGACTTAATCTTCACTTTCAGGACGTTACTTTCTTCCATATTCTTCTGTACTCACCCAAAATTTGCCTCAACATTTTATGTTTGAATGTATTTATCTACCTTTTACTCTTCCTTTAAGACCCTAGTTTCACATCGATTTAAAACAACAGGTCTTGTAATTGGGTTGGATAGCTGCAATCCAAAATTTTTCCTAGGCAAAACTCCAATAGAGTTAATTGGCTTCAGTGGGAGACTTGTCCGAGTAGGAAGGGCAAGACTTGGCCTCAATGAGACTATAAATTCCAGTTTAAAACTCAGTAGTTGTTCAGAGGCTCGCTCCTGTGACAACATCATTCTTCGTGTTTCCTGAATTCCTTTCCTACTCATAGCAGGCAAGCTTTCTGGCACCAAAATCAAATGACAATACCCTGGCCACCTCCCAAAACCTCATTATGTCTTGTAGAAACCATCGTTGTCTCCACTGCTCTCAAAGGGCGAGTAAAGCCTCCGAGACATCGGGTTTCTACATTTTGTTAGGAAAGGCCAGTTCTTTTCATGCAGGCAATAAACAGGCCCCGATAAGCAACTGTGACCCTGCCAAACTCACCAGTTGCTTTAGATGATGTAATAAGTACTTACACTTCCAATAAACCCACACTGCAGTATTTAAGGTATTCTCCACAGCGATGTAAGGAAGCACACTGCTATACAACAGCCACTGAGGGAATTCTGCCCGCTCAGCCCAAGCAGCACTACTTAACTACAAGCACTGGTTCAGGAGTCCCATTCCACTACTGCACATTTCCCATCCTCCCTAGAAGCTGGAGGCCATACTCCTTTCTCAGTGTAATTCTCTTTGTGGTAAAACAAACATTTAGGGTATGACATGGTCCAAAATACAAGCAAAAAATTAAACACAGCCTAGTTCAACAGACTATATGTAAATATTTTCACACCACCAGCCTCTGTACCAAAGTACTCCTACAGTTTCTTGTAACTTGCACAGAAAACACTTCTTTCTTCATATCTGAGATCCCAAACATTTCCCATTCTTTCAAATGCTTCAGTCACTGAATTAAATCCCCCTTTGCCAAGGAAAGCTTGAGAAAACAAGTCAGTCGTATAGTGCTTCCCGTAGGTCACCAAGTTCCTGCCTGAGCAGCCTTCAGGGGAAAAGAGCCTTTCCGAACCAAAAGCTTTGCACTAAGACTGTCCTAGCAGTGCTCCCCTCCGGTCTCTATCAAGCTACTGGATTTAGTTCACCAGATGATCTCAGCTACTGTAGAACCACAGGGAGAGGTTCTCTCACCTCTAAAACTTCTGACACAAATCATTTATGACCTTGTGAGCTAATGCATCTGGAAATGAGACTGGTACCGCCCTGTTTAAAAGGCCCCGGCTCTCCTCGGAAAGCCCTGGGACTGAAAACGCTGCGGCACTCTGCCCTAGCGTTAGAACACAAGTGCCAACTTACGACAGAGGCACTTTCGGTAAGAAGAGCGGATAAAACATCCGCTGTTCCTCCACTTCTTACAGCATAAACAACAGTACGTGGCCTAAGTCACACACTCACATCCAAGTTTGGCTCCAGCTGATGTGAATCCCTGTTTTCAAAGGCAGCAGAGATGGAAATACAGATCCTGATATCAAATGAATACACAGCACTGTCGAGGTGGCATTCCTTGCTAGCCCCATGCTCCCCCAGTGCCCAGATAGATGCACAAAACAGAATTTAGCAGACTCGCTCCTGAGAAGACAGTCATCCAACATTGCTGCCTTGAGACAAGCTCACAAGAAGGGAATGGACAAGACTTCTTTTTAATCTTCTGGGCTGTAGATGTGTCAGGAGCAGGGGGTGTTCAGCAGTTTTGAAGACAAATAAGAAGTGCATAGAATCTGTAAGAAGACCCAATTTTCATTCACTGTCTTCCCTTCCCACTGCACCTTCTGTTCTAACACTGGGCCAAAATGACTGAGATTAAACACATTTGTGAAACCTGGAGCTCAATGGAGAATGTGGGCCAAGTTTTGCTATTTTAACAGTGACTTTCTTGACAGGTAAATCTTAGAACACAATATTTGAGCTATCATACAGCATATTTTGGAGAAAGACTATATTTCTGCAGTGAAGTCAGCTCTTCATAAGCAAATAATTTTACTTCCTCCATGTTAACTTCCACTGGTCTCCAGGAAATAAAATCTAACTCAAAAAAAATAGCCATCTTGACGAGGGTTTAAACTGAAAAGACTAAAATGTTAGTCACTGTACACCACTGCCAGATTTTTCCCACACTGACTAATTTTGGTTCACACTACCTACCTACCACAAAACTTCAGTGAATTAAACTGCCCAGCGAAATATCTCTTATATCAGATTGAAAAACAACATTAGAATCAATGGGACACTAAATGATCTGATGCTCTTGAGCTTTGAACGTGTCGAGCACCATTAGAGTGGAACAGTCAGTGTGTCCAAACACTTAGCAACAACTTAGAAAGTGGGTCATTAACACATTTTGTCATGTTATGCAATTTTTCCCTCCCCTCTAAACTGGGCTTTTTTCCAGGTCCAGTAGCCAGCAATTAATCAATCACAGTCTCTCATAAGCCTTTTGACTTAAATTCTATCCTGTAGGTTGTGTTAAAAACAGAGCAGAAATCACTGCAGGAGGTGAGGCAGGAGGGGGCTAGTGGTGACTGCTGTTTAGGAGGTGTTTGCTTGACCCACAGCCGTTCTTGTTGCCATTCTTTGTGGACTCCTCTTCATTATCTGTAACAGAATCTTCCTCCTCTTCATCACTCCGGTCATCTTTCAAGTCCTAGGGAAAAGAAAGCGTCATGAGCATATTCTATACTTCTTGTTTACTTCCAAGTAAGTTACCGGACTGCTATTGTCAGCGCAGTACAGACCTTCCAAAACAGCCTATAAGCAAATCTTTTATTTTTAACGTGAGCTGCATATCTAGATCTTTGCAATGATTTTGAAAAAACAGCCAATTAATTTCATTAGTCAAGTGCCCCCACCTGTAATTGCAAAATGAAAAGATGGTGCATAAGAGTTCCAGAAAATGAGATGTTCTCCCTTCTTGGAAATTCCCCATTATCCTCTGAAGACAGAACTCCTCTGTCCTTCATTTGCCTCAGCAAAAAAAAATGTGCTAAAGGGAACAAATGAAAGGGGAGTTCTAAACACACTAGACAGTATCAAAACTTGCCCCCAGAAACACTCCCTCCCCACAAAATGGAGGCTGGCATCCAAGGAGAGACCAGTGAACAACACTTTAATCTTCCAGAACCTAATGTTCTTAGATAAAATTTCCTCCATGACCTTAGCCCAGTCGTTTGACCTCTTCTTGCTTGTTTCTGCTTTCCCTTGTCAAGCGTTACTAGTAATCCCTGGGTGCTGTGGGATTAATTAACAATTGTGAAGTGCAGGGAAGATGAAAAGAATATTGTATAAAAGCTAAATATGATTAATACACTCACCCAAACACAGACAGTTGAGAGGCTGCCTGCTTCTGACAGGTGTAAACTAAACAGTGACTAGTTGTGCCAGCATCTCCTGGTATTAGCTTTGCTTAAGGAGACTTACTGACCCTAAAATATTCTTACCTGCTTGATGGTGTATACATCACATCAACATTTGCAAAGGGGAGGCCCATGTCTTTATACAGCTATCATACACATGTTGGGTACCTCATCCTGCGAAGGGAAATGCCGGGGAGGAGGGGATGGCTGCTCCATTAGCAAAGATGAAAGGGGGTCAGCAAGACAGTCTGCCCTTATGAAAAATCCCTTCCCAGCTCTATAGGAACAGCTCCATCCCCAGTCAACCATGGCACTTGCTAATGAATGTTTCCACCATACAGAGAAAAGACATTGAGTCTATCCAGTATTTCACAGCAAAGGTTAGGGAGAAGTAAGACAATTCCATGCTTTTTGGCACGGTACATAAAATATCCCATTAGTCTCTTATTTCTCAGCCCTTACCATAACCCTACAATGCGTTCAGTAGTTCGGTTCAAACAGTTGAGGCTTTGGCGTTAAAACCAAACATCTGTATTGCCCTTTCAGTGCAACAACTTACAAGAGCAGTACCTGCCTCCCTGGAAGGACTTTCCATACCCACTGATAACCTGCTCTGCAGGCTCAGGGTAGGATGCCCTAGTTAAAGGCACCGTAAATCAAGTAAACACTTTTTTCTGCCTAAGTGGGTGACTGAGAACAGAAAGGAGATCAAAGCAGGCACCTCAGAAACTTTCCCCACCTCCAGCCGCTTCCTGTGTGATTAGCAGCCACCACTGGTTGTCTCTTCCAGTTACTTGAAAGGTTCCTGGTAGATCTGACACCACCTGATAGATGCACATGATAATCTCTAGTTCTTGTGTTGCAAAGAGATGGGCAATAGTCATTCCCTCTCCAGTATTTCATGACTTAATAGACCGCCTCTCACTTAAAACCAGGAGCTTCCCTGTTGCTGGGGATCAAAAGCTGGGCGCTCACACTGCGTCTGACAACTCACCCATTAGCACCAGGGTATGTAGTTCATTAACGGGAACTCCCAAAATTTAACAGCCAGGTATTCGGCAGTGTCAATGTTCAAGTATTGAGGACTGCAGGTGGCACGGTGCCTTTTTGTAAGGCAGGGGTGTTTAGCCTGCAGGGCTGCCTGCTGATGGAGAGCTGAGGCTCTTCCAGAGCTGCGTGCAGGCGTGAGGCACGTCAGCTCTTGTGCAGACAATCTGCTGCCTGTACAGCCACGCCGGGGATCGCCCCGTCACGGACAGATTTGGTCTCCTTGTCATCTGCCTAGACCTCAACTAAACAGGCACAGCCTGCACATTCTTCCTGCTCCCGGAGTGATGTGCCAAGATCAGAGATAAGACGCAGGAAGGAGAAACCAGTGTCGTTCCTGCCCATCCTGTATCTGATTTCACTTTCTTAGCATGCTGGTCTGACATCTTTCTTAAGCACCAAATTCATACAGAGAAAATTAATGACAGCTCATCCAATTGCAATCTTATATCCCTTTATATATTACGCATCTAGTAAAATTTATAGGACTAGAAAGAGAATTAAAGCCTATGCTCTGCCTCAACAGAAACTATAAACTTCCTGGAGATTTTCTTTTGCCTTTTCCCTAACAACGTACAAGGGGTATCAAAACAAACAAAACTTACTGTAAATACTGTAAAATAAACTTGGCATGCCATCAGTTAGAGAAAAGGAAAGATAGCCCTTCCCACACAAACAATTTATGAGGTTCTGCCTCTTCCAGATCACCCCTCTCGCTCCTAGTAGTTTTGCAATTTGTATTCGCAGTAAAAGACAAATGTTGGAGGGGTGTGGGGGAGGCTTGTTACTTTTTTTTTTGCCACCAGAAATGTTTCAGAAAAAAATGCAAACTAAGCCTAAGTACAGTGTCTGATGCAGAATCTGCCAGACTCCCTGGATGTACTCTCACCTTCCTGAGCAGTCTCTGGCTGAGGCTGAAAACGTGGGGCGCGACGGGAGAGGAGTGCTTTTGTGCTCACTGTGAATGGACTTGAGTCAGTAAAGTTTGTGAGTGCATATTTCGAGTACCTCATTGTGGTCCACAGAAGTTGCTGGTACTCAAGCCTCTGCTTAAGAAAAGCTGGCAGTCTGCTTTGCTTTGAACAATAGCTGATACATGACATCAATTCCCATTTCCTATAGGCATGAGCTGGCATTTCTGGCACGGAACTGGAAACTTGGGTAGGATTTGCTTCCCAGTTTTAATGCTGTCAAGTTGGATGCTCTGATTAAAGGCACTATGTGTAGTAATTAAAAACATGTAAATGTGTTTTCCAGCACACTGGAAACCCCTGCATTTGGGATAATATCTTAAATATTCCAAAGCAGCAGGA